CTTGTATATTTTCTCCGGTAATCAAGAAAGCTTTTTAATCCTGAGTGATATTGTATCAAATATTTTGTACAGAGCAATTTTCATTTGTGACAAAGGAAAATAAAAATGATTATTATTCTTGAATGATTTTTTTAATCCTTTTGTTATAGACAAGCATATGGTTGCAAGAAAGAAATACGACAACAGTAGAAATAGATTTACATGATTTATTTCAATATGAACGTGTAGTTTTGGGACAGCTACCTTGTGGTATAGTTCATAAGCTGGCTCCCGGTCTGGGTTGATCTCTCATAGTAGTTCACACTGGTTGGCGTGGCGCTCCTCCTGCTGACTGCTGCTGACTGACCATGGCAGGTCTCTTCCCTGGCCTCCTGTTGACTGCTGTTGTACTTCCCTGTGTGACGCCTTTTATGGCATTTTTTATGGCTTAACATGCTCGTAAAACGGCATGAGTATAATTAGGAGGGAAGCATTTTTATTGGTCAAAAAATAGAAACACTTTAAAATATTATTTTATTTTTCGACGGGAACTTGTGTGTCGGGCCTCTGCATAAACGACGATAATGGTCATTTTGTGACGGGGCCTTGTCCTGTTCACATCCAGCTCTCGCTCTTGAGTATGTTAGTTTATTTGCCTGCAAATCAGCTGAGGTATGTCTTATTTTATTTTATAACACTTTCACCTCAAGCAAGGCAATAATGCCACCAAGACACAAGTGGTTAATGAAAGTGTAAAAAATAGAGAAAATGATAAGAGAACAGGAATTAAGAACACAGAAAATAATGATTGACATTGCATTTAAAATTTTGAAGATCAAAGTTGACTGGAAAGCAAAAAGCTAGAAAAGAGTTCTGCAATTGATAAGTGCAGGAGAAGAAACTGTTAGGATAGAACTTATTTCAACTGTAAAAGGATGAGACCTAGCTACCAATCTAGTATTGTGTTTAAATTCTTGAATTCATGGTACCAAAGAGGAAAGCTCATCATCACAATTACTGTGAAATATTTATAAAAAAGGCACAAAGATACATTACAGTGGTTGGAAAGTAACTGAAAGATGACAGGTCAAGACTGATAACATTGCAGATTCTTCTTTGAATTTTGTCAAGAATCTCTAGATACATAACAGAAGCCCCAGACCAGATGTGGCAGCAATATTTGATGCATGGATGAATGGTAAACTTATAAATATGCAAGATAGATTCTGTCAAGAAATATTATTAAATTTGCTACAAATAAATAAGCAAATCATTTCAAATATTAGTCTGTGAATAAACACATTTAAACAATTTTAACTTCTTGATATTTATTGAATTTGGAAAAAAAAAACAACGGAACAAATTATTTCAAGACAAAACATATCTGCTAAGAATATTGTAATACTGACAGAAGTGTTAAAGAAATATTCCTGAGTAGTGTTTACAAATGACTGAATCCACCTGACCTTTAGTCAGTTAGGCATCCAATCCAAGTGTCTAAAATTACATATTAATATACTATGTACATGGGTAACTCTTACTATTTTTGATCTTTAAAGACATTATACACATATGTAATAACATGATACATTGTTACACTTAACCTTAAAGCTGTGGAAATTCATATAACTTATATTAATTGGTAGTGCTACTTACCTATATCATAGTGCTTATCTATATTCTGCAAAGAGCTCTGTTTAAATCCCAAATTCTTAATCTGATATTTTACCCAGTCATTTATTTGCAGTGAAGATGAAATACACATCCTACAGCTTGTTTTTTACTCTTACTTGAGTAGTCAGTTCTACACAAGCAGCTTTGACTTGAGCAACAGGAAGAAGTTCTGTCAATATTGACATGACAGGGTATTCAGTACATAGCCTCCTTATTGATTCTATGACTGAAGGGTACACACATTTGTGGTGGTTATTATTTAACACACTTTCAAATATGATTGACTTTAATCATTTAAAAACAATATACTTCATTTCTGGTACTTTGAAAATTTTAATTATATGTACATATTAATGTCTATAAAATTTTCTAATTGTGTACTTTGACTGAAATATATCAGGTCATCCCATAAGTTCTGTCCGAATTTTAACTTTTTGTTAAAATGAACAAAATTTAAAATTTATTTATAATGTCTAATGGAGCTGAACATTATTTTTATGTTTAGATGCATTTAAACTGATCAAATTTTATTTCAGAGAACAATAAAATTAAATTTTGTTTGATTAAAACCCTGCTAACATGGAAGTACCCAAGAATCATTTGAGGCACATAATGCTTTATGAGTTCAAGAAAGGAAACTCAGCAGCCGAAATGGCTAGAAACATTCATTCAGTTTATGGAGAGGAATGTGTGAATGAAAAAACTTGCAGAAGATGGTTTGCAAAATTCAGAGGGGGAGATTTCACCTTTGAAGATGAAGATCGAACTGGACGTCCAGTTAAGGTTGATGAAAAGCTACTTGAAGCAGCTCTTGAAGAAAATCCTGCTTTATCAGTTGAGGAATTGGCAGTGATTCTCAGTTCAAATCATACAACTGTTCATCGTCATCTTCAACAACTTGGAAAAGTTCCTAAACTTGGAAAATGGGTGCCTCATGAATTGTCTGAAAACAACCTCAAATCCCAAGTTGACATCTGCTCTTCTCTCCATTCTCGCCAACTTGTTTCACTTTTTTTGGATAGACTTATGACAAAAAATGGATCTTTTATTGAAATGTTAAGCGTCATAGACAGTAGCTTGGTAAAGGGGAAGGACCCCAGCCACAGCCGAGAAGGGAACTTCATGAGCAAAAAGTTCTTCTTTCAATCTGGTGGGATCGCCAAGGAATAATCCACTTTGAATTCTTACCACCTAATGCAACAATTAATGCTCAAATATACTGTCACCAATTAGAGCGTTTGAACCAAGCTTTGAGGATAAAAAGACCTGCTCTAGTGAATCAAAAGGGGGTGATGTTTCATCAGGACAATGCACGACCACACACAGCAAGAATCACGTCACAAAAGATCGAAGAACTTGGTTGGGAGAAAATTCCTCATCCACATTATTCTCCCGATCTTGCTCCTTCAGACTACCATTTGTTTCGTAGCTTACAGAATCATTTGGAAGAAACCGTTTTTGTAACACAGGAAGAGGTTAAAACTGACATTTGTGAGTTCTTCGAATGAAAGCCAAAAGAATTTTATAGTAATGGAATTAGTAAGCTTGTTAATAGATGGAAGGAAGTCATAGATAATCAGGGAAAATACATTGTTGATTGAATCTGTAATGAAATGTAACATTTGGTCACTTGTTTTCTTTATTCAAAATTCAGACAGAACTTATGGGATGACCTGATAGAATGGAACTGGTGGATGTTCGTTGTTTGTTTTTGTTTAGTGGCATATCAACACCTCTATGAGTTATTCAATGCCAAAATCTGAATATTTTGTATGCAATTTTTTTTAAGATAATAATAATTTTAGTCATACAAGTGCTATTAATTAACCCATAGATGAGAGTGGGGAGAAGAAGTGGATTCATACCTTTCCCAAGGGTATTTGCAGTAAAGCCAACATAATGAACCTCAACTGGAATTGGAACTCATCTCTCAAATTAACAATCCTGAGACATTATCCATTACATCACCAACACTTCCAAGCTTAGAGTACCTGATATTCTCAAGTGGTCACCCATCTAAGTACTGGCCATGATGTCTAGGTATGCAACATTAATTCCAGTTACCATAAGCCCTTATGGATGTCATTGCAGTGTTTCTGATATATTTACCAAATGTCAGGAGCTTGTTATGTATGGGACCAGATAAAGATTATTTATACAATCTAAATCTCAAAATAAGGAATTAATTTTAACAGCAATTCACAAACCAGTTAAGTTCATAATTTATTTTTAATCAAGCCCATCACCAGAGTGTTGTGAATTTGAGGTGGCCTTTAAGTCAGGTCTCTGTGCATAATAATTTGCACACTAAAATTAGTTCACATCATGTTCCTTCCCTGGGCATAGAGAATGATTTTCTTGGTGGGAGTAGGCTCTCAGCTCCACCTTGGTGATGGGCCTATTTTTAATATTAGCTTGAACTTTAACCTGTAAGCAAGATGGTTGAGATTTAAAAGGACAGTTTAATAATATTGCATTTATTTGTATTTAAGAGAGTTTGAATGTCCTTTTAATTATAAGGATATATGGGTGGTGTAATAGTGACTCGGAATGAGAAATCAAAGAGTCAAGTTCAAATTCCATTTGAGTTTGTTACAAGTACTTACATGCAAATACCCTTAAGAAAGATTAGGAAGGAAACCCCCATCAATATTGGAAAGAGCAATAATCGCTACTGGATTTGGGAAATTTATTTTCCTGAAAAATTGTTTAAAGAGAAAAATTTTACAAATTTCAACCAAAAGTAGTACTGGCTGCTCAGTCAATGAATGGTGAATGTTTCCTGGTAAAGAAACAACAATAAAAAATAATAAGTAATACATGAAATAATAACCTCTGAGTGAAATTCAAGGCTGTAGCCTATTGAAGAGTCTACATTTTCCATGTGACAATGTAACCATGTCAGACATCAAAGTATCAGTTGAATAAATTAATAAATGTTGACTCCATGAAACATCTACACATTATAAATACAAATTGTTTCTCAGTCACATTCACTATTTACTAATCAATAACAACCACAGCACATATTTTACTATTTATCATCAATTTTAGATCTTTGCATTCTACATTGATTGACTGATTGATTTGATTTTATGGCTTATCAACCAGGCTGAAAGCTAGAAAATATTTTGGGATTGTAAGAATTTTTTTGAGATAATAATGATTTACTGATACAAGTCCTAATATTTAACCCATAGCTGAGGGAGAAGACATGACTTCATATCTTTCCCAAAGGTATTTTTTGTATAAGTGAATGTAACAAACCCGACTGGAATTGGAACTCAGCTCTCAGATTTCTAATTCTTAGCCATTATCCATTACACCACCCACATATCCAAGCTTAGAGCACCTGAAATTCCCAAATGGTCACCCATCTAGGTAATGACCAGGCTCAACATTGCTTAGCTTTGGTGACCAGATAAGAACCAGTGTTTCAATGTGATATGACCATATGCCCTTGCATTCTATTAATATATCATATGTTGTTGGCTAATGCTCAATATAACATTTATGCATTGTTACATAACAATATCTCATTTTTTGAGTGTATAAAACTGAATAACCAATCTTTCAGGCAAACAGTTTTTAATATTAATTATATAGTGAATAGAAGTTTATCTTGAACTAATGGATTAAAAATAAAATGTGTGGGGAGAAAAGTATAAAAACATCAGCTAATAATGACAAAGTGGTAGGTAAAATCTATATTTTTGCAGCTGTATACACTTAAGAACATTTTGCAGACCATGAGTGGTCAGGAGATCACAACAAAAGACATAATATTTGCAAGACAATAAAATAGAAAATATTTGGGTAGAGTGTGAAATACTGACAGTCATCTGATTTAAAGACATCCCTGAGATGAAAATACATAGGAGGAGCAAGTTTGAAAATGATTCTACCCATGGTAGCTGAGGAGAAAGAGAAAGAGAGAGGAGAGACAAATAAACAAACCAAATTAATAAGATTAACTGACTACTTAAACTTTACTCATTCTATAGTTTTACTTTACTTTCGAACATGCCGCCTAAAATATTTATTTCTATTAGACTGGTTATCCATGAAAATTATCTCTTGTAAGCAAAAGCTACACCTTATGATGCAAGCAAGACAGAGAGGCAGATTGGAAGATTATATAATTATATATAATGATATCTGGAGTTTTTGCCCATGCACAAACCCAAGTGCTGTGAATTTCATTAATCTCAGAAGCAGTTGAGTAATGATGAATCATATTAGATTACAAATGACACCATTCCTGTTAGATTCCAATCCTCCCACCTTAAAAAAGTTCACTGTAAGTAATTCAGCTTCCAACTAACCAATGACACTTGTTCTGCATTACCTTCATTACCACATGCTAGGCTTCTACATCTAACATTTGTTTGTTTGTTTTCATAATGTTTACAACAAAACATGAGCATGGCAGAAAAGCACAATAAGAACAGCAACAAGAAAAGCCATAGAACCACAATTGAAGCAAAGTAATTTCATAAGGAAAAGGTATTATCTCTCTATCTCACTGTAACTGCTGACACTCAGAAAGTGCTAGAATTCTTTTTTTGGGGGGGGATTTTATATACAGATTCATAGAGTCATTTTATTTGGAATTTATTTGTTTTTATTGTTTATCTTTATGGTTTTGAAATTAGAACTGGAAAGTTGAATGAAAAAAATAAAAATTTAAAATAGGAAGAATGCTGAAAATACCATGGATAGAACATGTAAGCAATGAAGAAGTTTATAAAAATAAGAAAAAAATAATTAAAATGTGTAAAAATTAATATAGAATCTCTTAATAAAAAAGATAATATTAAATTATATGGAAAACTAATAAAGAAAATTAGAATGTTACTAACACAGTTTCTTTAAAAAAGAAACTGCCAAAATGAAACCAGAATTTTATAAAAAAGTCATGAATGAAAATTGATGTGTAAAATTTGGGAAAAAAAGAGGCCCCAAATTGATATTATAAAAAAAGCTGTCAAAATGAATCTACATCTATGATGGGTGAATTACCGCCATTTTTTATTTTTATTTTCACACAAGTGTGTTGTTTGTTTTTGATTTTGTTAACTGCACGTTATATTAGGGTCAGTTGGCCACTGTCTGTAAGAAAAAGAGCAACATGATGTAATTCACTCTGCCAGAAATTTGGAAACAGCATGCTGTACTATTTGGCATTCGTACAGGAATCTCCAATACAAACATTTCAGAGTGTTTGGATGTCAATCTGATGACAATGCAGAGGATTCAGAATGAGTTGGATGATTCTAGTCGTGATTACAAAGGTGTTTGGTGTGATCACTAGTGATTGTGAGATTATGCTTCAATTCATCTTCACACAGGGGCTCAGACTAAACACAGTGGTCTACATCAAATGCCTTGAAGAGGTAGTGCTGCTTTGGGTCAAGAAGATGGCTGCTGGAAGACCCTATACCGAGCAACAGGACTCTATACCATGCCACACAAGCAAGAGAATGCAGTCATGACTGTCAGACAATTTCTGAAACCACATCACTACATTAACATACAATTTACCATGCTTTCATGTTATTTGTGTATGTTTTATTTCTTGTCAAGTATGCTTGTATCTCCGTGAACACAAGACTAATTTCTGCTACTATGATGTGAGTGAATCCCCACAGATGATAAAAGCATACTACACTACTGTTGCTATTGAAAAAGAAAAATCTTGTAAATACAAATGTTTTTTCTAAACAGGAGTTTTCTCTCATATATGAATGACTTTTATAGACTTATGGGTTTATGTTATTTGAATGTTTTTTTATAAGCCTGTGAGAGTTTATCTCAGATTTGAGAACACCTGTTTCAAAAATGTGAATATTTGTCAAAAGGGCCCAGAAAAGCAGTTTCATCTGAGGTAGGTCAACCTTTTCTCACCCTCACTTCAAACTTGGATTTTCAACTTTTGAACATTCAACAATTTGAATAGTAGACTTTTTGATGTACATTTTTTTGTTGCTAAGAAATTGATTTGTATGAACTGTTGCTCTTAAATAAAGTTATTAAAATTCCATTATTGTTAAACAAAATATTTGTTTTACATGAAGTATTGTTTCCAAAATGAAAACAGATTTGTATTTTGTAAGAATTGTTGACCTATCTTGATAGTTTGAGGCACACAAGGGAAATTTTGGTTAGGAAGTTGTGAAGAACCATGATCATCCAAGTTCTTAAGGAACATGGCACAAAGAAGAAGAAGAAGAAGCTTAAAATGCAGTTCATAAAAAGAAAACTTATTTTATATAAAGTAAAAAAATATATTTGGGCAAAAAGCAGTAACAATGACTAGGGAAAATTGATATTATAATATATAATATTGCTTGAACAAAAATGCTTTATTCAGTCTGTTAATTATATTTGTCTTTACTTTTTTTCACATTCAATTAAATAAAGTGCTAAACATTTATCTGACAAAATTAGTTGCTGAAAAGTAACAATTTAAAAAAATCTTCAACTTTTAAAATTCTTCTTCTTCATTATCATCGACAACAAAAACAAAACCATCATCATTATCATCAAATAAGCAATTCCTTATCAATAAAAATATTGCTATTTTTATTTTATCTACTCATGTATTTTAACCTTCAATTCAAGCAAGTTATAATAATTTGGGGGATTGTTTATTTTATTATTCTTAGATAAATATTAATGGCCAAGAATAAGATTCAGTGCCATAAAACCAGCATAAAAATGTTTTAAATTTATTAACCTACTAATCATGACTTTCAGAGAAAAAAATAAAAAGTGAAATTTCTAACCTAAAAAATACAAGTTAGTAAAAAAATTAATGAATGTAGGAGGAAAAACAATGTTGGTATTTTAGAAAACACAATATTATTTAACAATATTATACAATAGTGCTATTATAAGTAATATTATTAGTAGCTACAGTTCATTATATATATATTTATATATATATATATATATATATATATATATATATATATATATATATAGTGTGTGTGTGTGTAAAATTACAGATAGAGTATATCTGTAAAAGCACAATATAACTAAAGACAAAAGGATAATTTATCTTAGCCAACACGTTTTGTCTTCTGAGGGACTTTATCAAGACAAAAGTGCATGAGTTCTCAGCTAACCTGATGAATATTTATGAGTGTTCTTATACCTAAAAATTTTGAAAAACCAATAATGTTTTTGCTCATGTATATAAACACTTGTTAGAAAATAAAATCTTCGCATTTACCTTGATAAAGTCCCTCAGAGGACGAAATGCATCAGCTAAGTTTTACTTTTGTCTTTATCCATACATATATATATATATATATATATATATATATATTTGGGCATTGCAGAATCTATAAGTACACTTATGTATCAATTGCTGAAGAATAAGAAAATTATTTGTAATTAATGTACATATGGGCTAGTGTTACCTAATTAAAATATAAAAATGCAAACTCACCTGGATTTTAATATAGTCTAAGAGTGGAGATGTCCATTGTTATTTGTTATAGATATATATTTATATCATTCAAACCAAATGTATTTTAGAATTACAAGATTAGTTGGTCATGTGAAGGACTTTTTATTGCTCTGTTACATGAAAATATCTTTCTAAAGTAAAATTGGATTCAAATCTTCATTTTTTCCTTCCTTATAGTGAATGTGAAAAATGAGCTTTGCTAATTCTGCACCTGAATTTATAGGAAAAAATATACAAAATTGAAATCTATATTATAATGATCCAATTTCTAGATGTGTGAATGTTACCATAACATAGCAAAAATGGCATATCATAGTGAGATTTCTGCTAGGGCAATATGATTAAAATGTTCTAACTTGAAGAACAAAGCAATTCTCACTTCAGTCTACAATTTGGTAATGAGAGTGGCATACATGTTCATGCTCACTCTGATAATAATAAGTCTTATGGTCCCATCACATTGAAACACCAATTCCCATATGATCACCAAAGTTAAGCAATGACAATCTTGGTCAGTACCACTTGGGAATACCAGGTGCTGTAAGCTTGGATGTGCAGGTGTTGTAAGGGATAATGGCTGCGTATTTTTAATTGGAGAGCTGAGTTCCAATTCCCATTGGGTTCATTATATTTATTTACACACAATTACCCTTGGGAAAGGTATGAATCCATCTATTTTCCTCCCAGGTATGAGTTAATTAGCAAGACTTGTATCACTAAAACCATTATTATCTCTCTCAAATAAATTCTTACAATCTAAAAATATTTTCTGGCTTTAAAGAAACTACAAAGTGTTGATAAGCTGTAGAAAATGGATCAATTAATCATATCCTTGTATATCTTATTGACAGTGTTGAGTGATTATTTCTGTAAATTTTGTTAGTCAAAGTTGCCAAAATTGTAAATGTTATTTAACAGCAAAAGTACAAAAAATAAGCTGTAGAAAACAAATCAACCAACCAAATGATAATAATGATG